TGTGAAGACAGGGTGTAGTCCTTACCTAGTCTGCAGAAGTAGGGCTAACACATGAGTTCCTGTTATGAGGATCTTGATGGGCTTCAGTATAAACAGACTGATTAGGCCTTCAGGATGGAGGATGTCCCAGTTAGAATCCAATGACATGCCCAGCGCATCATCCAAAGCTCACACCGCCCATCCCCTTCGTCTTTTGACCATGGTCCACAACCGCTACATTTCAAAAGGAATTTCAAGAGTAAGCGGCAAGGGTGGCCAGGAACTTGAGTTGTAACATTGGCTATGGATAGCTTCAGCATCTTTTCTTTCCATTATTTAAGTGCTTTTCAGTTAGATGTGAGTACCCAGCATACATACCAGCCCACTTCATTACCGCTTTCACATGAAGAGAAGGCACCTTAACACTCTGTCCCATGGCATCCGTGAGCAGATGTTCCTACAAAGTCACAGCTGTTTGAAACACATACAAGAGAAGCAGGCACAAACTAGTTGATGATGCACAATAATTTTCCCAGCAGAAAATTTTCTTTATTGGCTTTTTATTATGACAATTAACAAACTGCTTACACTCTAGAATTATTTTTTTATTTTGGTTAATCAAGTCTGTCAAATATGAACAACCTACAGTTTTTCACTTTTTTGGACTTGTTCTCTGTAAGAGCTAGGGTCTTACATCTTCAGACTTACAAAAACATTGCTTTAAAAATTTAATTCTCACAGGAATAGCGTGTTTTGTTTTTTTTCCCCTCACTTACAAAAGCAGCACGCCTATAGATTTTTCAAAAAGCTGTTTCAGGATACTCCATTGATGTAATTTCCTATCACTCCTCTCCATAGCCTGCTTTCCAAACCAGCTCTTCCTTTCTTTGACTGTGAATCCTTTTGGCCTCTGCATGCATTAGCATAATACCTACTTACCTTTTCATCTTCACATACATTATTTCTCTTGTGTATCTTCCCGTAGTGTTCAGAACTAACCAGTAGACAGACACTCCACCGAAGCTGTGTCATTCTTGCCATCCAAATGCAGGCCCTAGTTCATCTCATGCGATTTCTTCTGTGGATTTCAGTACAGGCACTGCTGGTTCCTGACTAACGGGCACAAATAACCAACTATTTGTTGAGTCAAGGGAATCGGCAAAAGCAGCTAGGTGCAAACAGCTCACCTCTCTCTGTTTCCTCTGCTCCCATGGGTTGTTAGGCCCACAGGTCTCTTCCCCTAAACCACAGACTGAAATCTGAAAAGCATGAGGAATTTTCTTCTCGGGACAGAATTTAAATCATCAAGTAGTTAGTTACATGAAGGCTACGACTTTAAGACTCTATTAACAAAGCTAGTCTTTATACATGCACATAACATTAAATAAATGGAAACAGAAAAATTAACTACCTACAAACCTGTATCGCATCTATTTTTTGCTGAATGAAACGGTTACTTAAGGATATCATCCTTGGTGTGACCAGGGGTGTGAATTTGTTCTATACTGACAAGGTAGGTGTGTGCACCTGGGTGGTGGGGTGGGTGAAGCAACCACGCTGCTGGGACCTAGGACCGGAGAGCTAGAGCGGCACCAGGCAGCATTAATGGCAGAGATTCAACTGCTCTTCAGTTTCCTCAGTAAATGTATTATAAGGTGGCATCCTCAGGGAGCATTTTGCTCATTATTCTAAATTTCTCCTTTTAGTTTCATATCGACAATAAGCAGAAGCAATTCCGTTAAAGCAAACTCAAATATATTTATTGTCATGGAATCCAATGAACAAAAGCCTTCAGAGTTTTACGGTGTTGTAAAAAGCAAACCTCTTGCTACTTCTCCGTGTTTTTTGGTAATGATGTGGCCTTACTGGCTTTGGAGACACTTCACAGTAGCCTGCCACGGTAGTCCTTACCCAGGGTTGATCTCACTTTCTGGGAATCTAATGGAATGGCTTCTTGGGCCTCTGGCAGAGACATATCCTAGTTCCAGCCATGATAACAAAAGTCCTAAACCATGAGAAATTAAGGAACTGAAAATAAAGTAACTTGGACTCCTCCCTCCAGTCAGCAGTCATTAGAGCTGGTGTTACAGCAAAGTTTTCCTGCACAAAAAGTCACCCACCCAGCTGGCAAGCTGCCTCAGACTCTTGCCCATTTTCCTTCTCACAGAGGAAGAGACAAAGGTCAGTTCCTTTTGGGTCTCCCCATGCCTGGGCCATCTGCAGATGCAGGGAAATAAAAACAGATTCGCAGTCCTCGTTCTCACTTGTGATCAAATGGGGGACTCAAATACTTCATCACATACCCTGCTATATTGAAGGCACCAGTGTTTCAAGATTTTTTTTTGGCTCCTGAAAGCAGATTAACCAACCAACCAAATTATCAAGAGAACTCCATGAAAGACGTATCTTAATACATTGTCATTTTCTACGTTATATGCATTAAAAACAGCCAATAACGATTCCCAGATTTTCTTTTTCACTCAATTCAGGAATGTCCCAGAAAAGGGAACTTCAAGCAGTCAATCAACTTTGCAGTCCTGTTTTAATCTGCCTGTTACAAAAGAGAGTTGTGAATTCCCCTTCTCTTTCTTTGCTTTAACATTACACCATTTATAATCCCCATGATTTTCCTTAGAAACATTAGTACTGTTCAGGCTTATTGACGCACAATTTTGTCTTTCGGTTTCAGATAGCAACAGCCTTGTTGAGTCTTCTAAAACTAAATTTAATATAGAAGTCTTCACATCTTGTTTTCAGAAATCCTCTGGGATCCTCTGCTTGAAAAAAATTCTTAAGTTTTTTAGTTCATGGAATAAAAGGTCACTTTTGTCATGCTGCTGCTACGGTTGCATATCATGAGTTATGTCTCAAAAGTCAGAGTTTTGGGAGCAGAATACTTCAATAAATTACTGCTTCATTGCCTTCTAAACTGTGAGGACAGGAATCAGAAGACTAATGCTTACTAATACCTCCAGAATCCTTGCAGTAAAACCCAGAGCTAACAGCAAGAGAAAAGACGGACTTTAAGACAGCTACTATTACATTTGTCAGACCAGAAGTAAAAGTCCGAGTAGCACGCAACAAGTGAGTCAATGGCTCCCAATCTCTAAATAAGACAGAAGCCTACGAGTGCAATGCAGCATGGACCCAAAGCTAATTGTCTTTGCCTGACCTATTCTGCCTCCACAGGGCCCAAGGAAATGTGAAATATCGCCAGTTTGAAGTTGGAAGTGACTCGACTACGTTGCAAGACCTTTGGAGAATTTGGTAATGACATATATTTTGTGATAGCATCAAGATTCCCAATCACATGAGGTGTCCATTGCAAAAGCATTTTTCATTTGCACAAAACTAGAGACTGGAAAATTAACCTCATCTGGGGGAGCATGTCAGCACAGAACGTGAAAAAAAAAAAGTTTAACCTGCCTTTTAGTACAACTGACCACAGGATACTATTCAAGTGACAAAATTATGACGTGGGTGCTTAATATTCCTGTACTTGGTTGGCAAAGAGGAAGAAGGCACAAGAGGTTAAAGAAGAATGCTTTTATTCGGCTTTCAGCTCTCACAGTTCTAAACAGTAAACATCATTAACAATTCACCCATAGCACTGGAGAATATAGTCCTGGTATCAGTAAAATGTCTACTGTTTAAGGCACTGATTGTGGGAAGAAAAAAGAAAAAAAGACAACACAGATTGCTCCTACGTAATCAGAATTTGACTCTATTATGAATATGTGCTTGCTATTCAAATGCTTAAAATTCCACAAGCTACATTCACGAACAAATGTTTATACAACTTCAGTAATTACTGAAACAGGAATCAGTGGCATCCCTACTTCGACTTAAGAGCAAGTATTGCGTGACTTTGGAGTAGAATCAATTTTTAGCCTACTAAAATAAAAGAAAACACAAATTGCTTCAGCAGTATGGCTTTAAGACCCTGTATTTGGTTACAATATAGCAAGCGAAGTTAAACAACAGCATACAAGTGCCATATACTGTCATCTTAAAAGGAGCAGTTTACAATATAAAAATTAGTTTAGAACATACTAAAGCCAGTTTTTGTACAAACATTTTTACAAAACTGATTTACTCAAAGAACAACAACAAAAAAAATCAACATTTTAAATATGAATCACTCTTTACATGTTGTATGCATAAAATTACTTATCTGGATGACATAAATTAGGAATACTTCAAACTTTTTAAAGCTGGCATCCATATACTATTGAAATGCACACATCAGAACCACTGAAGTGTTAGTTCTGCAAAACTCTCCTTAAGGGTCACTTTATACTTGCCAGACAGACACAGAGACTTAGGATTCTAAAGGAGCCACAGTGACCTCGCGTGGCCACTTAAGAAATCCCTCTCCTTAACCTTTTTTTCGATTTTGAACATGACATTCCTCACAAATGCTAATAAACTTAAAAGGTACAACAGCGGTTCGTTCTTGGTCCATCTGCCCCAGGAAACTGCAGTATTTCTATCAGAAATGAGTATAAAGGAACATAGCCTTCACATAATCTAGCTCCTGGTCAGAGAAATAAAGTCAAGTCTCCTCTCCTATTTACCAAGAATCTGTTCCAGAACAGCTTAGAAAACCATTTTCTGTAGGTCAATGATGTTCAATTGATGTTCAACACGCGCTCCATATTAGGCTCCCAAATACATAATTTCAGCTTTTGAGAGAACAAAGGAAAGGAATGTAAATCAATGCTGTCTGACTCAAAGTCCAAACCAGAACACAGATAAGGTTGTACGAGACATTTTAAATGTGTGTCAAGTTCATTGGTACACAAAGCCCAACAACATTTTTTAAAAGAAACCAAGTGTAACAGAAGAATCCAAAAGTCAAGTAGGTGCCTTCTTCCATTGCTCTGAAGTAACGTAACAAACAGGAACAAAACATTGTCTTCTATGTCATGAACAGAAGAACATGAGAACACCACAAAAATCACAGTAGTGACTGTCTCTCATCTGCAGCACATTAATCAACGCTGCCATTCTTCTAATGCTTATAAATCCTCTCTGTTATATCCAACTTTTTTCCCATTAAGTGACTCTTCTGTGTTTGGTGCTAGCCATGTGAAATATACCTTCACTGGATCAATATTCCAATGCTTGTGAAATGATACCGGAATTTGGTGAGAAAGGTAGTCTTTTGGGTAGTCCATTGGCCTCGCCTAAGATGGAAGAATAAACCAAAACCACTAGTACTCAGTTATGAAGAATAATTTCAGAACAAGAAAGTATCACCGTTCAATGGCATCTGTATCATAACAAAGCAATGTGGCATTGACAAAATGTACAAGATGATAACAAAGGGGTTTTTACATCATTCTATTAAATCAATTGATAGGCATTACTTTAGATCTTCAACTCGCGCTGCAGCTATCATGCTATGAAGCACACTGATATTAAACACGCCCTATTTCTCAGCATGAAATGGGCACCATTTATCAAAGCAGGTGATAAACAGTGCAGTTTGTATTGCATCTTTTTAAATATTCAGTTTTGGTTGACTAATGACAAAATGATTTTAAGTAATATTCTTTTGCTCCTCCTCTTAATGAGAGCTACCAGCACTGCCAGTTGATTGCAGGATCCTAACAAAGCCATAAGCAGCAGAAGTAGATGAAGTTTTATAATGGGGAAAGGTTACCAAACACAGGAAATATTGTGGTGTCGGAAAACTACATTGTTATTCTTTATCAGGTTATATCAAAAGGGACGGAATTACAACACAGCTACTTGATGCAACTGACTTCTTAATGCACCAGGCATGTTTCATTTCCTCTGACAGTTTAATGGCACGTAAGTGCATCATTATATTAAAAAAGCCCCACCTGTACTGGTCCCTGGTAAAATAACTAGGTTTTGCCATTGTAAATAAGAGTGTTTCTAAAGAGAAATGCATGAAAGGCACACATTTGGGTTTTTTTCTAGATGTAAAACACAAGAAGAAAATGGAGCGATTTGGATACTGAATCACTGATTTGATGCCTAAGCTAGTAACTGATTTAATACCGCATGCTTCACCTACTTATCGCGGTATTAATGAATTCTACATGCTGTGTTCTTCATGCAAGTCCATATAAACTCCAGTCATAAAATGAAGTAACAGAATTTGACATTAAGAAATCTGAATATGTGTTGTTGGTGTTTTTTTTTTAATTTTGATATTTAAAGCACAGCGTGTTTATTTTTAAAAATTCCACTGGAGAGATCAAGAGGGAGCCTATCTGCCTCAAGACTTTTGAAAAAAACTTTGGTGAACATTTAAGTTTCAAAAACCTGAAGAATTTACTTTGGATAGAGACAGTTTTTGGATATCCAAGACCAAAGATTTTTGCTGTTTGAAAACCAATCAGCTTTTTATTGAGCTATAGACAAAATTTTGGTGTTTTGGTAATTCTAAAAGAATGAGATCTGCTCTAATAACTATCATTTTTATTACACTGCTCTCTAAGAACCATACTGCTTTACAGGTGGTTGACCTTAAGATATAAATTCCCGGAATTTCTTCTTCCTTACATTTTGTGGAAGCAATTATTGTCATCTTTGCAGTTTTTTTGTGCTAGAATTTGTGTTTGGTATTCTACAAAAGCCAAATACGTTGCTCTCGCCCAAATTTTATAGTTGAAGACCACAACTCTGACTGCTACTCAACATGGGAAGGTTCCTGTTCTCTTTAAAAGAGTCTCATCATGTCAAAAGCCTCTGGAACAGGTTACAGAATATGCATACAGAATATGCAAACAGGAAACCAGTAAGAGGAAACAAACACTGTTACATTATAGAGACTCTAAGCGTGAAGACATCTTTGCTTCTGTTTCATAATATATAGTCAGTACAATTTTGGATTCATGTACTTCAAGGAACATTGTACAACACAATATTTCAGTCAAGTCTTTAAAAAATAATATTCTGCTTGACAGAAAATCCAAGTTTGGTTTTCTCATTTTGAAAATATTTGTTGCATAAGAGTGGATTTTGTAGAACAAGCACACTCAATTTTTATTCAGTAGTTTTCCCACCAGGGTTAATTTTTGTTCAAGGTATGTTAAATCAGAATTTGTTATAAGCAACAGTAAAGATGAATTATAATTCAAGTGTAATTTTCTATGTGGAAAATCAAACTGCTAGGATTTCACTTTCAAAGTGATTCAGTATCAAAGGTACACCATCGAGGATGACAAGGAAGTGCTTTGTTTTGTTGTATAAGGGCTGTTCCTACAAATCTGTAAAATAAGTTCTGTTCTTTGCAACTCTCCTTTAATTAGGTGGGTTTTTTATTTAGAACGCCTGTGCAAACACAAATTATTCAATAACTTTGTTGATTTTACAAGATGCATTACTTGCTTTCTATATGGAAAGGAGTAAGCAGTGATAAACAAAACACAAAAGTAAACAGATATGATTTTTTAATATAGACAAAGAATTGTAATACTGAATAATGCATTCTCAGTTTTCCCATTTCTCTAATGACTAAATATAATCAGAAAGTGAATCTTAATATAGGAAAAACTGGTAATTTAAATAGCAAACTTCCCCCCCCCCAGCTGCTTTAAATTACATGGCAATTTACTAATTTTCAAGTAGCCTATTATCTTAATCTCAGTTTATTCAGATACACAGGTCTTAAATTTAGGTTTTTTAACTGGATTAACACATGAAAAACATCGAACACTACACTGATTTAAATGCTGATTTTTTAAAAAGTTGTGCACTGTTTGGGAAAAATTGTAAGTGCTGCTTCTTTTTAATGCTGTGGGAGGAAGGTAAAGTGTTTATTTGGTTTACGAGGCAGCAAATCTCTCTGGGACTCAATGCATTGTGTTTTCCACTGTGACACAACAGTTAGATTGCTAAATATTCTGGAAGACAGAAACAAGATTCAAATCTATTCCAACCCACTTCTCTCAAACTGGAGAATATACTCACAAGAAAATTATGTTTTGTGACCTCTTTTTCCCTTGTGCTAGCATAGAGCAATTTTATCATATTTATACCATTCTTCAGAACCCACCACAAAAGCAACAGTTCTGGGAATACTTCCACATTTTGTATCTTCCCTAATGAGATATTTCAAAAGAGTAAACACTGAATAAATAGAAAAATTGGATAAGTGGAGAAGACAAATTTACTGAAAAATTTCACAGTCAGTTCTCCATTACCTGAAGAAAAAAGAATTGTGTTTTTTTTTTCTTTTCTTAGAGGACATATCAGAAATATTCACAGCATGTGGCTCCTAATTCTATTTGTTTTTCAAAGTTCCCACCTCTGACTGCATTTTTTATAAAATGTAGTCGTAGGGTAACTGAAATACCTTATAAACTATTAAAGCATTGTAGTAATCCATGCTTTGAGAATATTCTTACTTGCTTGATCAAACTTGTTCTGGAGAGAAATAAGGTATAGCAGCAGCATCTTGGTTATCGTTAGTACACATTGATCGAGTTTGCCATACTTACCAGTTTGCAGTATTTATCAGTCTCGGTTTACGTGTATACTTAAAAGAATGAAATATATTTTAAATACTAGTAAAAATAACTCTCTGACCTGATGGAAAAGTGGACTATGAGTTATCGGGATTCCTAAGCCACTGAAACACATCCCAAGGACCATATCGTCAGGCGCATCCATGCTGTAACACCGGCATTTACTAGCAAGTAGTTTCTGAACAGCTGTTCTGCTGAAAACCATCCTGAATACAAAAAGCAAACGAAACATATCAGACAGTAACTACTAGAGAAGCCAAATGACTGTAATTAATAAATATTGCTAAATGATATAAAACTGCAAGACAAAATGTAGCCCTCTGGCACAACATATCTGAAGTTTCAAAATTTGAGAAGTCAGTACTGACAAGTAGTGCAAGAGGCATTTTCTGAAAGATAATTACTTTATAAATGAAAATTAATTATACCAATTATGTCAATTGTTGTTATTCCAACAATTACTTAGCTAGCCTCCGTTTGTACTGCAGCTGATAATTCCTCCTAAATTTGGCCAGGACTTTGAAGGGATATTCTCCTCTAGCTTATTCAAATATATTGTCCAGTTAGATATCATGTAGCAATTAAATGAAAAGAACTCTAAACCTGAACTGTCACTGTCATTCCTTGAATCCTCTGTTATAGAGAGTTCTCCCCATAAGTAAAAAATGTTCCTTGAAGCCACTGCAAGGCTCTTCTGTTCATTCTAACTTTCTTGCTGATCTAAGTATCAACCACAGCCTGGAGCTGTTAGATCATTATCTATTGATCTAACATATCTAAATATTGATATATTGAAGACTAAAATAAGTCTTCAATAGACCAGAAACATGATGATGACTTCAATTCAACAGCTGAAGGAATATATGATTACTTCAATTCAACAGCTGAGGGAATATACTCTTGTCTAGTATTCCATTGCTGCCTTTTCTGAAGTTACGTCATCCACCCAGTTCAATCAGAATACAGGGTACTCTAGCTACTATAAGTTATACTAAAAAGATTCACACTCTGAAACTGCTTCATGGCTTCATGAGTTCATTCGCTGTATGACAATCCTTTGCTTGACAATGGGATATGGCAAAACTACAAACACCGAATGCAAAAAGACTGACCTGAGAATCTTGTCAGATTAAAGTTGTAAAAGACTCCATCACTATCATTGCAACTTTGAAGATTGCATGTATCATAAAAAAAAACAACGGAGAGCACAATAGGAAGTTGTATCTCAGTACTCAGATCAAACAGAAAAGGAGTAATAAGCTAGAGAAAAAAAAAAAATGGAGAGCACAATAGGAAGTCGTATCTCAGTACTCCGATCAAACAGAAAAGGAGTAATAAGCTAGAGCCTCAAAAAAAGGAAAAAAAAAAAAAAAGAGCTGGGACTCGTGACCAGCAAGTGTTGCTACACAGAAGGTGTGACATAAATTGCATACATTTGGGGAATATACTTGCTAGTTGATTACCTGCACTGTGTCCCTTCAGTTGTATAGAACTGTTCACTTACAATGAATGTCCTCAAAATTAGGGTATGGAGCAAGATGGATGATCTATACCTCAATCTGCTCAAACCTGAGAATGAAAATAACCCCAAATTTCCACGTCGAGATGACAGAATAGAAACTAAGAGATAAACACTAAAAAGATATAGAAGTATAGGACTGGTAACCAACAAATATACCAGCACCAGTTGAAGGTTTCTTAACTAAAGCATAAACCCTACTTAAGTAAGACCTCATGCAACTATGTGAAACGATGAGAGGGCCAGTCAACTGATTTTTACTTACCCATGGATGGGTAAGAATCTAGGAAGTTATTACAGACATCACTTTTCACAGAGAAAGACACTAAGGACATTCAGACGTCCACACTACTTGCTTTAGACACACAAGATGGACAGATCAGAGCCTTACGATTGCAGTATGTTCTTATTGCAATATAGGCCAAGCTGAAACTTCATATACACGTTAATTCAAACCAAATTGCATACAATCACAGGGACCCATGTATCTCATGCATGAGATCAACCCACAGTGATCTCTTTCTATGAGAAACTATTTTCCAGGACATCAATATCAAACTCCTTTCTCAGCCACCTCTCCACAAATCAACGCATGAAGTTCAAAAACAGAAGGAGAATTACAATCATTTTTCTCCATGTTTGGACAAAGAAAGAGAACAGGAATTAATATTTTCATTGCAGCAATTTGTATCCCCAGGTGTGCTGCTCTAGGTTCTCCTGCAAACTCCACAACAGTTCAGATCACGAGAGTATTTTTTTAAGCAACTATCCCAATTGTCTCTGCTTACTACGCTTTGAATCACATTCTAAGATTGTCTCCGAGTATGCAGAATGAATTCTATCAGATGGAATAAGGCTGCATGATGTGTATCAGGAGAACATATGGTGCAGATAACTGATAATAGGCACTCAGTTCACAGGACCAGCGAAGACGAAATGCCCCTGTCTGAAACATGCATGGTCTTCAGCATCAACTGTTTGCTCTACAAATCTCTTCCCAATGGGCAGCACAACTTCTTACTAGTTAGGACATCTGGGTCTTTGAGCATCGTTACATTTTAATCGTACTAGTAAACATCAATGTTTCTGTTGAAACTGATTTGTGTTGCTATTCAAAACATTTGCACTCAAAAGCAGCAACTGATGTAGATCTCAGTAGGAGTTTAAATAAATTACCCTCCTCCGCCAGTGATATAACTGTATCCTCCTGTTCCCAAGCCGTAACCATAACGCTCTCCAAGAAATACTGGTTCTTGTGGGTCATAGCAGCTGAGCAATTTTCGGAGTCTGAAAATACTGTAATATGAAAATCCATTAAAAAAAAAAATCATGTAGACATTAATTTTGAAAGACATTACTAGCCTAAATGGCATTCTAGTAAATAGTACATAAATGACAGGAGAAATTCAGAAATTCTACAAAAAACAGAGATACAAACTTTTAAACAGAAATTTATGATGGGTTATGTACTATGGGATATGACTGCTGAATTTTGTCAAATGATGAATCAATTAGCTTAAAATATTTTTCTGAAGCAGGCAAAGTTTCTCAGCACAACTGAGTCTCATCTCAGAGAAAACATGAAATTAGTTTTTCCAAACAATGGTAATATCCTTGCAAATTATCTTTTCTCCCCAGGAATTGAAAAACAGAAAGGTAGATTTAGTTATACAAATGTTGCTTTATCTACAGTTATGGCTTCTTCCAAATTCTTCTTCCATCACATGATTTAATGTAAAGTATTGTCTTGAACAACTTGTTCTCATGTTCACGACCATGCTATCCTGCTGGATGACCACTGTGCCTTATTTCCCTTACACTGCAGCATCACTTTTCATGTGAATGGGATCCGATTTTCTAACCAAGGCAAGTCCCTGGCCACCATTCTAGGTGGCTCTGACAACTAACCCTAGCTTAGGGAACCTTTCTTCTGGCACATTTATGTGAGGAATACCTCTTACAAACTGTATTAGCAAATGACTAAAAACAATCGGCTCAGACATACCTAGACTGAAGAATCACAATGTGTAATCATATTCAGACTATACGATTACATAATACCACTAATATGCATAGTTTTTATCAAGTTACAAGATTACATTGTTTTTAATATCAGTCAAGGAATGCTGAAGGGAAGTGACAATTTTTTGCCTTAAAGAAATATAAAGCTACATAACTAATAAAACAGCTATATCTTTTAAATACAGAAGAAGAGATGAATATTGCTAAAACTCCTATTGGCACGAACAGTGTTAATTCCTGAAGTATTGCAATGTATACCTTATTAGGGTGTCATCATCCACGATGACTAACCAAGGAGTTCTGGGAGAGCTATGATTCAAAAACCTTTCCAAAATGGCAAAAGTTTTCCCACAGTGACCTGAAGGAAGAGAAATAACAGAAAATATATTTAAATAAAATGAGATTTTGTAATAAATAATTATTAATTAAATAAATAGTCTACTGCACTATGCAAAATATGTACTATTTGAGATGCAAATTTAAATTACATCCTTCATTGTGCTGAATGGTATTTGTACAAATTGTTTCAATACAACCATTGCTTTCTATGCAGGAACATTCTTTTGAAGGATGTTGAAGTATGGATATTCTTTGAATTATAGAAACCTGAAAAATAAGCTTTATTCCAGCTATCCTGTTAAGCTGTTGGACAATACTGGGCAAACTGCTACTTTTAATTTCAAAAACTGTACAATGAGGAGACTATGATAGAAACATGTTCTTTAAAATACTCCAAGATATTTTCATAGCATTTCATGATGCATCAGGCAGGTCCATTGCTTTTATACAAATATCTAAGTCTACATTAATCTACTGTACTCATCACCGGCAACTCAGGTCCTGATAACTTCCTCCAAGAAAAAGTCTTAACATTTATCACAAGACCATAATAAAGTTGAGAGGTAAAACGCCCTTTACTAGGAGTTGAGAAGTGAAACACCCCTGTTCAGAATGATCAGAACAAGAGAAACAAGAAGTTTCAGACTTCTACTGAATCTATTTTAGATCTCAGAAAAATCTAATTGCAAACAGTCTTTATTCATATATATTGCAGCTAATTGTCTAAAGCAGTTATTGCTATCAATACTACAATTACTAAACAATCATCAAAAAATAAGGATAGGATACTATATTTGAAGCTACTTCCAGTTAAAATATTTTTTGAGAAAATGCAGTAACTTTATCCTTAAGAATGAAGCCCTGGCTTTGCTGATTTTGTGAAATCATGAACTTAATGCAGACCAATATATGAACATTTACAAAATTAAAACCAAGATTTCTGTATTATAGTCTATCATGAAAGATGGACAAAACATACTATTAGAGCAAACTCAGCACAATTTGTTTAGTTTAGTACGCCAGTAGACCACAGGTCCCACTGTTCCCCACAGCAATGCTCAAAGGCCAAACATGGAAGGTCTCCTCCCCGCGGGTGTGACTGAACTACTGGGCATGGTTTCCACCGATGATCCACACACGCCCAGCAGATCTGGTGTCTCCTGAAAACACTCACTGGTTGCACATATCACACCGTAGCCATGCAAATGGAAATCCCTGCCTATTCTCTCTCTGCCTTTAACAGACCCTGTGGAGGACAAAAAAAATGGCCACTGGAAATAATCCAAAGATCAGAACAACTGACCTAGTGGGCCAGGTAAAGCTAATAGGCCACAGCTTGGACACCTCTAATTCAGAAGGTGAGTAACAGCCTGTAGCAGAGACTATAAACCTGAGAACTATAGATCAAATGAAAGAAAAAACCCTAAAATTAATAAACTCATGGAAGCCATCATATCCATAGCCTTTTTTCTATTCAAACACAATGTAAACTAATTTAAAAGCACATTATTTGTCACAAAAAGATCTTCCAATCTTGACACTTAGTTTTTGTGCTTAAATCAAGACATACTAGGCACGAGCATGTAATATTTGAATACCACATGGCAACCAGTTTATGCTCAGCAACCAGTTGGCACCGTCTGAAGTCTCCTGAAATAAATCTATGACTTCTGCTACTACTGATGAACTTACTCAGGACTGTCAACAACTCAAGAGTTATTACTCTTACCCTGAGTAATAACACTAATTTTTGTCTCCTGGAGTGTATCAGTGTACCATGCTTTCATACTCACAGTATTTAGGTTTCTACTAAAAAGAACATTCTCCCTATACAGGTGAACTGTACTCTCCACCCATTTTCTGTGTGGCAAAAGCATTCTTTTAGTTTAGGCTGCACAAATGTGCTACAGAAATACAAAATTTCTAAATTATGTACTATACAGGAAATACACATATCATCCATAAAACTTACCATCTTTAGACAGCTATTTGCGCAAAACTGACAACAACAGTCAATAGCTCACCTCTGTCAGTATTGGGTATGCCTAAATCTATAGTAGGAATGGAGATATCTGCATAATCACTGTAGTATTCAATAAGGGCAGCTTCTCTTTCCCAAGTCTGCTTTACAACCGGTACTGCAAAACAATCATTGACATTGAAACACAGGTAACTTGATTAAGATAAGTACTTGATGAAAACATTTATGCACCTTGTTAACTGACATATTCCTTCGTATGGCAATGAAAATTCTGTTTCAAACACAGCATCATGGTTTTAAATGTTCATTCTTTTTTCTTTCTTACAATATTTAGAGAGAAACAATTTTACATTTTTATGAAAGCCAGTCAGGGCAGTTTTATTTATATAATAATACATTTTCATTTAAAATATGACTATAGCTTCATTCATATTACATTGAAAACCATGACATTTACATTTATGCTAACCAAAGTATGGAATTCATTACTTTTACACTTGCTATGGTAGACTTGATAGCACGCATCAGCATGAACACTACTAGAAATCAATTATTCTTCCAGTATTGAAACTGCTGCATTTTAAAAACAGCACATCCAACTGTACAGTATATAAAATATTCTGAATCAGAAACAGCCCAAATGCACCTTCTGAAATATTACACTTGTGTTGTATACATCATATCTGACAGCAACATCATATTAATGCTCAAAAGCACCTGTCTCTGGAGACAGACTCACAGAAGGACATTTATAAATATCATACAATCAATTTCGATCCCATGGAGATTCTATTCAAAGGAGGACTGCTTAATGCTTCGCTACAAAAGCAACCCTTTTCTTATTAGTTTGCCATTTCACATAAACATTTAAAATTGATCATACAAAATTCTAATAATACTGCTATGAATGTCTAAATTATACCCAGAAGTGAATAAATTATAGGTAACACAAAAAAAGCCAAACGCCTGCAGAGTGTTTGGAAGAGAACTATCAAATTAAAATAATGATCTTTTTTCCATTTTAAAAATGAAGTGGTCAGGACTTAGATGAGCAGCTACTCTGAAACACTGTGCATTCTGTTGTCATTGTTTGACTGCTTTATGTTCTTTGGCACCATCCAGTAGGTCTCATTGGTAGCAGCTACCTCTTTAAAGGGAGGAAATATTTATATAACTTCCCTTTGCTGCTATCTAACTCTGATGCTTGTGAATAACTCATTTTAGCCCCTTGCTGGAATCATCCATCACCTAATTCGATGTTTGCTGGCTACCTGCTTGCTCATTTTCCTCTACTCTGATCACAGAGGGACTTGAAGGATTTACTATTGTTGACTGACCGGTAGCCAGTTTGATAACAGTAAAATGAACTGCAAGGTATCTGTTAAGACAGACTAATGGAAAGGCTTTAATATTTGGAAAAAAATATAATTTTACTTCTGTAGCATTGTGCAATGGCCAATATTGCTCTTAAAGTTTCTAAAGAAACATAGAACTGCTCTCAATTTCCACATAAAAAAATCTGAAGGGAATTATGTACAAAAAATGTGTTCATACAACATATGGAGGAGTTTTGAAATGCAAACCCAGGAATTTCAAAATGCATTAACTCTACCTCCTATGCAATAAAAAGTCACATGACATCATATAACATTGCATAATCAGGCATCAATTGGCAGAGAATGCCATGTAAACATTTTCTTATTTAACTAGAATAAAAAAACCAAGGAGGTTGGAGATTATTTTCTTATTTTGCGAAAATGTTCTATTTCAAAACTGTCTCAGAAGAACAAAAACCAGAAGGCTTTCAGAGAACAAGGTCCCAGTACAGAAGCATCACAGATATACAAAACGCTTCCAACCTTCACCTGGCAGAAGTGATGCACCTGTAAAGGCTGTTTTACCTTTACCTAACCTAGGTAAAGGCACCTCACCTTTACCTAACCAAGGATCTCAACCTCAGTAGGGTGCTTTAACATACAGAAAAATGTTCCCTGAAGCAAGGACTCGCATCTCACCTCAGTTAAATGGCCTGACAAGGGAGCTAGTAGCTAAAGTGTCTTTCTCTTTTCCTTGCTTGTTTTGATGGAAGTGTCACCATCCAGACCAATGTCTATTGCAAATTGATGCCCACAATACTTTGTAATTTCTAACTCCTATGTTCCAAAGAAAGAAAAACTACATGAAATTTCGGACTAGCTGTTGATGTAACTACTTATCAATATGTATTAATACTTGTAATCACAGGGAAGTTTTAATGCCACACTACAGAGGTATTTATGGAAGGTCAGCTCTAAGCTCTTAATTTTATTTGTGCTACTTATGGAACCTTGATGCACGTTTACAGTCTTGAAATTTTCTTATATAACCATACAGGGTATGTGCAAGAAGGAGAGTTGTGTCTGAAGTAAATTCTGAAGTAAAATTTAGCTGCTTTTGCACACCGAATTCCAAGCCTTAGTGTTGCACTAATGTAGTTTTTGGCATACAATAAAAAAATGACTTACCAGGTAAAAAGAGCTCTCTGAAGCTGGCATCCATTAATCTTTCAAAATCTTGAGTAAGATTATCCTCTATTGCATAACACTGGAAACTGTGAGGAAAGTTCAAGAATTTTCCTCAGTCTTCAACAGGTGTTTCTTGAAGAATGTTTACACTATCTTTTTGAAGCCTTATGTTCTTTTCCAACTTTCTAGTTTTAGGGTTTTTTTGGTTTTAATTTTGACGTACGAAAATAAACATGGATCCAGAAAGGAGAACTCTTCAGTGAACTCCAATTACAGGACAGTCAATTTTGTTTTGTCAAAAGCTACTTTAAAGATAGCCTAATGATTAGGTGATTAAAATACTAGAAATGTGCCTTCATCAAGTGCAGTAACATTAAGAAAAATATTCCATAAATCTTATTTTGAAGAAAAAAACCAGCAACTGGCAAATAGTCTAAATTCAGAAGTGACAGAACCTACAGTTTTGGATGAATTAGCAAAGGGGGACTTAGTTAAGAAAAGAGCTTTTATCTTCATTCTGTCTTCTGACAATAGGTATGGCAAAACCAACCCAAAATTTGGTACAACTACTAGCCATTACTTCATTTTCAATTTTTTTGCCAATAATAATGACTTTAAATTACGCTTATGAACAAACTAAGCCTAATGGCAACAATATTACATACTGGGAGTATTCAAGGACACAAAAAAGTCAAGTAAATTCCTGGAAATAAATTCATTCCTGAATTTCCTTATTAACAGAACGTCTAGAAGTAAACTAGAATGGACTGGTAGATGACATCAAGTAGGTAGAGTGTATTCTGTTAAATCAGTGGATTTGGAATTTTTCCTTCCAAGTTTTGTAGACACTGGATCTACCTCAACTTAGCTAGGCCTTCTTGTGTACTAGCTGAAGCTGAGTATCTCTCTGTGTCTTCATTTTCTGTGCCTCTAAGAAGGAAGTTAAATCTCACTGGACCTAACTTGTTAGCCTGTACCACATTTTTTTGTTTGTTGTTTTTACCATGGATATCATGGTCATATTTTCATGGTGATTATCATTACTTGTATTAACACTACAATTTCCAGATGAAACACACTACAGTGTTGCACACTTGGGAGACTCTTGATCCGGGCCATGGCTTGGAAAAAGTACTACAGATGACCACATTTCTACAAGAGACAAGATTTCCCATTCCAAGCATTATAAAACACACGTGCACATCCAATTGCATAGGGTGACAACAGATATGACGCTGTAAACTGCTCAATCTTTTACTGGAGGAAAGGGCAGGAGAAAAGGGAGGAGGAGGGGAGAGACCTTTCAAGCTTGTTCAAATTTCTAAATCAGCTACCATACAGTTGCACAATTGTTACTGCTAGTACAAGAAACAGAAGTTAACCAATTATCTTGGGGAAACACACTGAAGGATATTAATAGCTGCTATATTAATTAATATTGCAACAGCTCCAAATTACAACAACATAAGCTAACTTTATGCGTATTATTAATTTAGTTATTCAAGATTTTTGCCAACCAATCACTAATGATGACACATCAAACGACCACAACTTTTCATCTTAAACGTTTCACAGCACTCCTGAAGAACTCTGAATAGCAAAAAAACATTCTATCTAAAGAATAAGCTGCTTACAGTTCTGAAGCTTTCATGTTTCCCAGCAGATTTTGCAAACATTTGGTCCCAAGAGCTACACAGACAACATATAGCAGCTTGTTTTCTAAATATTAATTTCATAAACTATATTGCATAGAACTACCACCTTGACCAACCAACAACTTACTTCTGTCACCATGAAATTTCTGACATGTTTTTACAGCAACAAAAACATCTTCCTTTTTCACTGGCTCTCCCTATACGAACAGAACAAAAATTAATTTTTTAATTGCAGGTTCTGCCTGTAACATTTTAAAGGATATTTATGTCCATACATAGAACAAAACAGAAAATTCCTTTTCATTGTATAGCATATCAAGTAGAATAGTGTACTAGTAGTACACTAGAAAGTACATTTTTGTCTCTTGAAAAAAGGTCACTAGTTGTTTAAAATTCCTGAAATAACATTACTGAAATACGTTTTCCATTGATGCAGTACTCTAATATGAACTAAACCCCCTATCATTAGGAAAAGAGAATGTGCAGTAGAACTTGTTGAACTAAGCATGATTCATCGAAAAAGGATGTTTTCTTTATTTCTTTGAAATTAATCACTACGAAAACATGTTGAACTGTATCATACTTGGGAAAAGAAGCTTAAATGCTACACACTAGAAATCTTTGAATTTCCTCAACTGTAATAAAATCATTTAACCACTTTTATTTCTTTTCCTTTTTGGCACCTAGAATTTTGCTCTCCTGATAGCATGGAGCACTTTTTGGCCTTTAGCAACACTTAACCCATAATATCATAAATGTATGCTCCTAGAGGTGGAAGAGATCGGTTGTACTTTAATAAACCAAATACTAGATTACATTTTATTTTTAGCCTGAACAAGTTTTAGATTCCCATCTGTTAAAAAAAATTATCTATACTTCAGTATCTCACAGTAAGGAGAAATACTTTATAGATCATGTGTTGATCAAACATTGTGGTAAAAAGACCCGTTAAAGCATATGCAATATTTGATTGCCAGGAAATATCCTGTGTCATGGAAGGTTGAAAGCATATCTAAAAATAGATAAATGCAGAACAAACTTTTTTTTTTAAAAAGTAATGAAAAATATTTTCTTAAGGTTTGAGATTTTTAAAGTATCATGCATTTTATTAGGAGTTTTACCTTTTCTATGCAAGCGGTATTTAAAATACGTAACTTACACAAAGTGGCAGAAAATTACTGAACGTTGTTGCACAATGATCAACCTTATATGAGTTCACATCATCTGTGCAGAACTCGGGCACTGGAGTAAGATGTGGTCCTTCCCCTCTCTGCCAAATATACAGGGCAATCTATCAATACAGAAAACATTTCTATCAGTAATGAAACTGGATAAAAATTCTCAAGGCACACAAAGAAATCATATTACAGCGAAAACTTAACAGGAAACCTGAAAAATACCGGATGCTGTGGAAGATTCATCCCTTAGTTGATTAACTAGCTGTGGACCTTACTTCTGGCTCACATTTCTAGACCCAACATGTAATTTCTTTGTTATAAAAGAAATTCTATAGGCAGACAAGTTTTAAAATTTGTTTAATAGAATGACAATTAGTTTCATATACTTAAGCATGTCAAAACAACTCATCTTTAACTTTTGTAAGAAGTGGCAGAGTGAATATTTACATGTTCTTTTAAAATAAACAAAAATCCTTACTGTGTTGGTCTTTTAAAATTATTTTTCCTGTTTCATCCTATGTGGCAATTTTCAGCCTTTCAAAATAGACCCACTCTCTGGTGACAATTTAAAATGCTCAAAATCAGTAATGAAACTCTGAGTAGCTGTAAAATACCATAAAAGATAATGTAATATGCTATCCTATAGTGGACTCTTGTCCATTTTAAAAGTAACAACAACAAAAAAAAACCAGTCAACATTTACAGAGAAAAAGGAAGCATCAAACCGGTGATGTCCAAAGAAGATAAAAAACCCAGCACCTTTTGTAGTTATATTAAATTCAGAATAGAAATAATGATATTTCAATCTGTACTTCATGACACATCAAGAACACTTAGACTTGCCCAGCGTTTCTATTGCAATACTTTGACACTGCTTATAACTTTGCCAGACTAAGTATTCAGGCAGGAAAGTTCTATGCTGGGTGCTTACCTCAGAACAGTTAGAAGATGAACTTCATTTCCTATAAAACTGTTCAGAAACGTGTAAGAACAAAAAGAAATTCATAAAGATCTAAAAGGCAGAAAATAGTATCTCAGTAACTATGTGGATTCAGAGCGTTCCAGCTGCACTGCCAGACACTCCCAATTCTGAATGCTTAGTCTCCCTGGAGAACAGGACAAAGATGTGAAAGCATCTTTGGACAAGCGCTCTTTGAGCATATACTCACGATACAGCAGATCTGGGTTGTAGGTTTGCTTCTGCCTAAATTCAGAAGTTAAAGCTTCTACTTTTCAAAAGGATGCCTACATCCACAAGCCGTAGATATTCTGGGACACAGACACTCCATGTCACCTCATGAAACTGAGTTACTGTGCAAAAAGTAAGATTCATGGAACCACTAAGACAGTGTAGCGAAGGTGAGCTTAACACTAGTGCACAGGGTGCATGGGACTCCTCCAAGGGAGGAAAATCAGTCTTAGAATCACAGAATTGTTTAGGTTGGAAAAGATCTTTAAGAACGTTTAGTCCAAATGTCAACCTAGCACGGCCAAGCCCATCACTAAACCATGTCCCTAAGCACCACATCTACACTTCTTTTAAATACCTCCAGGGATGGGGACTCAGCACTTCCCTGGGCAGCCTGTTCCGGTGCTTTACAAGCCTTTTGATGAAGAATTTTTTCCTAAAACCAATCTAAACCTCCCCTGGTGCAACTTGAGGCCGTTTCCTCTTGTCCTATCGCTGGTTATTGGGAGAAGAGACCGACCCCCACCTGGCTACAACCTCCTTTCAGAAAGTTCTAGAGAGCGATCATAGAATCATAATGGTTGGAAGAGA